TTACTAATGATCAGAAATGGCAGAAAGCTTCTGTCCTACCGATAGTTGCAGGTCGGTGTCTGTGGAGTGGTAACAACACAGATACAAGTGGATGTTGGGATTTTCAAGAGGTTAATTATATTAAAAATGAAGCAGACTGTGATGAGGATGTATCACGATGGCGAGCAGACAACTGAGCTTATGTCTGGGCTGAATTAAATTAATCCAATGTTCTCTGGCAGGTGGTTTGGATATTTACAGCAGGCCTTGCATCACTGGTTCTGGAAATCTGCACGTAAAGCCTTTCTTACTGAACCTGAGGCTCGGACTGGGAAATGGGAGATTTTTTGTATGTTTTTTTTATTTACTTATACACCAAATGAAAAGAAATATTTTGGGATGCCGCCCTCCTCTGCCTTTTTGAACGGCTTGCATTTTACTGGCAAATTAGCATAGGGGGTACAGACCCTCCTCTCTGCTTCACTGGGCAGTTTGTGTAATGCTCACGTTGATTTCAGCCTTGGCATCACAAATGACACCTCCGCATTGGCCAGAGTGAAGAAGGATCTACCTCATTTAGCCCTATAGCTCACAATAAGCTGGTGATGTGTGTGTGGGTGTGTGCATGTTTCAGGAGAAAAGCAGACTTTGAGAATTTAGGCAGTATGCGCCACTGTGGTTATTTCTGTGCACGCTCACAGCAGATGCATGCGCGTACGCTTCCTTACATGTGATAAGGATGGCAGGTGCCTTTTTTCAGGACAAAGAGAACAGCTTCATGGAACTGCGGAGAACAACACAACCCGGGTACAAACAAATGAAAGCACTCATAAGTCAACTTCTCTCTTCCACAAGTAGACAGCTAGGACACGCAGACAAAGGGCGCATTGATATCGGCAGTGACACACGGGTGGCAGCTGTACACATCATGTCATTCAGTCGTGGTTGCTGTGAAAGGAGACTCTGTCAGACAAAGTGGAGTGTGGTGATGTGCTTAATCCTGTGTGGAAATGTAGTGTAAAAATAATTCAAGTTTTTGTTATAGAAATAATAACAAAACTGATGCTGCAGAGTCAACCGCTAAGCTAGTCTTGCTTAACTTGGATGCACATTATAAGAGAGTCGTGGTACTGAACAAATCCAAACACTCAATACATGTTAATAAAAATGTTTACGATGCTTTGGATGTAGTAAACACATGTCGCTCCACTTTCACCGGGCTAACACAGGGACGACTCACTCATGTTCATACCTGCAGAATTGTAGGATCACAGATTAACCTGACATGCATGTCTTTGGAAGAACCCCGAATATCCGGAGAGAGCCTACGCAAGCAATGGGAGAAAAAGCATAATCCACACACAAAAACCCCAACAAGGAATCTCCATCAACCACTGCAGCACTGCGCCAACCACAAAAACAGGTGGATTACTTTTATCTTGGCTTCCTGCATCTATGATGTGCGTTAGAATGGCATTTGTGAAATGCTGAAAAGGGATGAGCAAGACGTGTGGTTCAAAACAGGTTTTTGGAGAAAGTTACCAAACTTTTTAGGCTTTTAAAAAAAATGCAAAGTTATTATATGTTTGCATTGACCATAGAAACAAATCTCATAACAGGTGCACTTTGGATCACAAAGAATATTTGCACTCAGTAGCTGCATTTCTTGTTGTTTTTCTTGGTTGGTGGGCATAAAAACTGCATTGTGATGTTCAACACCCTCACTACCATCATTTACATAATTAAGGCTTAACAGCAGCAAAATACGCATTGCTATTTATTTCGAAGGCGTGGAAAACTCCAAAGAAGATGTCCCGCAGTGGTTTAAAGCATGGAAACTGTGCACTGCCTGGTTTTTGTGCAATGCCTATTTTTCTCTGCTCAGTGACAGTGATATACCGGTTTAGATTACACCGTCCCATCGAGAATTCAGGGCTTGTCATTTGTGATGTGTGATGCAACTGTATGGCAACCCTGTGCCCCAGAGCTAACACTCCCACTGATACCAAAGCTACTTTCCGGCACAGCACTCTTACCACCACAGGCCTTTCAGAAAACAAACCCATTGCACCCACAGGCTGAGGACACACAAAAATGCACGTGTACACAACACAACCTTAGGATTTGATTACATCCTCTGCAGCGTGGACATATAAATAAATATATAGATATATATATATATAGAGAGAGAGAGAGAGAACACAACATCTGAGCTGGATAAATCACATATGATCACCACAGTGTTGATGCCTTGCTGAAAAACTGTCATATGTAGTAACATTTAGGTTTCGTGATGGATTATTTTGCACTACTTGTTTGGTCGTAACCTAGTTGATAAGCTGTAAGGTAAAATGTTGCTTTATGTTATTATGCAATAGGATCCGACTAACAGGAAACGTAGCAAATTCTGGGACTCTGATGAAAGCGAAAGAGAAAGGGACTGCCATCCTGCTGCTTTGTTGCTCCCAAAGTTTGTCTCATTAGCACAAAAATCTTTGAAGTATCAGTAAACATGCTCTGTTTAAAAGTAAATCGAATCAGCAATGCACAACTGCTTTTGGAGGCTTAAAATTGAGGCTCTTTCTGTTAAGCTGTTTCAGAAAATAGATGGATTGATAAAAAAAACTGAGGCATGGATATAGAAGAGAACATGTGGCTTGTTCAGGCAGAAGACAGAGTAGAAGATACTTCAATAGATGATGTTGAGCGCAGACAATTTTCATATCCAATGAAGCGTCACAGCAAAGCTTCTGTACCTCCACATACAAACTATTGATAGTTTAACTGTCACGGCTAGACGGTCCTCACCGGTCGCCTTGCCAATTTTTGTTGTGTTTGTGTGTACTTTGTGGTGTTCTCCTCTCCATCCTGTGCATGTGTGTTTGTATGCGGGAACGTGTACTTCCGGAAGCCGTGGCACGGAACGGCAGCTGACCCGGGGGGAGTATCCTGAGCTGGAATCGTCACACCTGTGCTTAATCACTTCGCCGGTTACTACTAATCCGAAGCGGACCTATTTAACGGTGCGGTCGAGTCACGACCAACGCTGGAACGTTGAGCTAAACCGGGTAGCGTAGTCGCGATTAGCATACCTAGTTTGTGAAGGAGAGAGAACGTTTTCGTTACTGTGCGTGTGTTTTTCTCATCTGCCTCCAGGATCCAGGGATCGGAGGAGGAGCGGGCACAAGGAGTTGTTTTGGATTGTCACTGCATTTTCACCACTGTATCACTGCCCTTTTTGGATTACAGACTCGAACTGTTGACTTATTTATTCACTGTGAATAAATTCACTGTCACTCTGCAAGGAGTCTCTCACCTGAGTCCTTTAACCCAATTCACCATGACATTAACCAAAGTGGCTGCAGGCTGAGAAGATCATTACTAAAACTTGGCCTTATGGTGCGTTCCAGATCCCAGATCCCAGATCCCAGACAGAATTTCCATCTGGAATGCCACCTCAATTTGGATTTCCCACTCACAACGCCAGAGCAGCCCCACTAACCCCGAGTTGAGGATCCAAGATGGGAGTGGTGAATGTAAACAGTGGTGAAACTTTTATTCTGTCCTGCCACTGTTGTGTATTTGTAACTCACTAAATAAGCCATGCGCAGAGAACTGACCAGGCTCTACCCGTGAAAGTGCTGCAGCGATTCAAACAAGTATTGTGCTGTACAGCCAGAGATGCAAGGCAAAACAAATCCTGCTTTTCTTTCGCTTTTCCGACCTTCCTACTGGAAAGCATTAACTAAAAAAATAAGTCCGTGTGTGTTGAAGTCCCCTGGTTCAAAGTCCTATCTGCCTTTGGAAATTTGTCAGTCTTTATCTTTCTCTAACTGGAAACACTACAATGTGCTGTTTTCGGTTTCCATATGAGTCATGTAAAAAGACTGGGAGCAGCGGCCGGCAGTCATTTAGGCTCGACTTGTTGCTTTAGTCTATTATTTAAAGGACTATTACCACATAATCTGCTTACAATACACAAAATCTCTGTCTGTGTGTGTTTGTTTCTTTGTCTGCCAACTCCTCCCACACGATCAGGAGTTGAGCAACCAAAGCTGCCACACAGATACGTCTTGGGCCCCTGAAGGTTCTCAACTATATCAGATACTGTGATATCATCAAGTTGCCTAGCAACGCTCTAGCAACGGGTTAAAAAGGCCTGTCTGTTTTTCACATTTTTACCTATAACACTTTATAAAAGCATCTACATCACACCATAACATATGATTTATATCCACATTTTTTTTTAATTATGCATCATATGTTATGACGCCTGCTGGTTGCTTGGCAACCCTCTATCAACAGGCTAAAAGGTTGTGTTTTTTTGTCTTTTTTTGTACTGCATCATTTTTAATTCAAAACAGCGACATGTACCTGATACCCAACAAGCTAAATTATACGTGACAATTTCATCATGCTGCCTAGCAACTACTAGGCTAAAGTGACCCATGACCTACAACAATAAAAGCATATTAGCATTTTTATTTCCTGGCTAACAGCATACACAGCCTAAACAATGCTGTGGCAATAACATGTAGCCTAATTCATAAACAACAGAAAATAAACTTGGCGAACATGTATAAAAAGAGTGAGATAGCGCCCAAAAAATACGAATTTAAAACCACAGGAGAAAACGCAGTACACTTACCTGTATCAGTGACAGGTTACTGAGGTCCAGTCTGAAAAGGTAGTTTCTGAATTAAGAAGAAAGGGAAATGATGTAAGGGACCGGCTCAAATCCAGCAAAATCTATTAAACAATGCAGATGAAGTATTAGAGACCAGCTGTCAGGTTAACACAAAGTGGATTAAAGCACAAACTGTACTGCCCGTCACTCTTGGGCCATTGTTTTCTGTTAGTCTTTGGTTTTACACTTTTTTGTGATCATGTATGTCTACGCTTTAAACAGGGTCAATCCAGACAAAACTTTAACTCATGTCATGCCAAGAGAATAGAGACACACACACACACTACTGCGGCGTGACGTATTTCTTCCAAATCCTTTGCTCCTGCCAAATCCAAAGCTTAACTTGGTCCAGCGAGGCCTCAGCAAAGCACTTTAAAAGCGTCATTATCCGAAAACCGCGCCGTATGAGTGAGTCAGAAAGGGTATCACATTCTCAGTAATGTGCTCTGTGGGGTGAAAAGCTGAGTGGATTTACAGTTTCTTACCTGGCACCCACAATAAGCTCATTCCTAGTCAGGTCAAGGGTGAGCTGGGAGTAGTCTCTCACACCAGGGTGGGAGAAGGATGAAATCCACGGACTGAGCGCTGAGAGAGAGAAAAGGGGGGGGAAGGTTAGCAGAAGATAAATCATGTCGTGAGATAAAAGCAGTGACATTTACAAACAAAACTCATAAAAGGGTATAGTTTACTAATGCACGCAAAAACCTTTCCTATTTGGCATTTTATGCACAAGTGTAGGTGTTTACAGCGATGGTTAATTGACCCGATGAAAATCAAATTTATTAAGCAAAATGCCAAACGTTTGCCAGCAACAGCCTCTGTAAGTGAGGTTATTTTTATGATGGCTTTCATTATATTTTAACTGTTGCTCAGACTAAACTCTGGCAACACTGCACGACTATAGATTAGAAAAATGACCAATGCACCAATTATGAATAAGACACATTCATAGTTGCAGCTGAAGTGGTAAAAAAAAGGGCACCAAACAGTGAAGGAAAAGCTTCCTGCTACGTGACGCTGTCCCCTACAGAGCGGGACAAAGTGTCCAGGCCCCATCAGGCAACACAACCCCGATGCAACCTGACATTCAGACAAACGCGGCTCTGTGTGGGGCACGAGGCTGAAATCTCAACGCTGTATGAAACTGGCATTTACAAATCAAAATTTTCAGGGGCCGCCTGGCGGGGCTTTTAACGCCACACTCAAAACTCCAGGAAGAAAAAAAAGAGCATTTTCTCTCCGAACTTTGTGCGGGCCTTTAAACGATTTCACCACATGGAAGTTTGCGGGGCTTAAAGGGGATTTGCTATGTTTCCGATGCTGTAAAACAGCGGTCTCCAACCTTTTTTGCGCCACGGACCGGTTTATGCCCAACAATATTTTCATGGAC